CCCCCCCCCCCCTTGGAAATAAGTCTTCTTCAGACTTTTGTGGGTTATTCTTGGTGTTTGCAATCAATGCAATCCAATCTTAAACTAGATATCTATGGCCTTGCTTACCTCACTGTCATTCCAGAACATCTTCAGTTCATATTCTGGTAGAATATCAGTTCTGTTATTTACATCATCTAGTGCCATTGTAGCAGCTGGAAGACATCCTTCTCCTCCATTCCAATTATCACCTGTCATTGGGAATATGCCGCCGATATTCAGTACAACTTTCTCTTCTGTTTGTCCTCTTGCAGTTGAGGAGAAACAAATGTAAACAATGATGCAGAATATGATGGCTCGTAATCTCATACTACTAGTCATTGTGATGTTCACCAAACTTTACTAATATGCAGATCACTTTGACTCAATACCTGTTAAAGAGAACCAAAAAATTGTGTATTGAGTATTCTGAAACCTGGTGGTAGACAAAAATATTTGAAAATTTCGATATTTGCAAAATAATTTTAATGAGGCCGAAATTATTTTTTAAAAAGGCATACGTTCATTTCTTGGGTCTAAAATAACAAAATGTCATGACCCTCTTGTCGAAAATGCACCTGCAGGGATGTTATTTTATATTTAATTAGAGAGTGTAAGAAATAAAACATGCTTGCAGAAAATGTACGATATTTTTTAAGGGCCTCATCTCCAAGGACAAGGAAATGTTCTAGCAAAGCCAGAGAGCAAATTCAGCAATGATTTCTTAAATAAGTGTGCTTGAAAATACTAACCATTTTTTATGAGAAAAATATATAAATAATTAACTAACTCACTAAGGCATTTTACACTCCAGAAGACTCTATAGCTGTTAACATAGGCTGTTCTTTTTCACTATTCATAGAACAAGTGTGTTGATTGATGGTTACTTTGTGTGATCGTGTGTTAGACCAAATATTTCTAACATCTAAAGTTAAATTATTAGCTTTAAAAAGCATGTAAATGTCAATTACTGCAAAGTAACAAAACAAATCAAAAGTATATAAGTCTCTCTGATCCAAGAAATTAAGAGTCGAAGAAATCTCTGATGGACGAAAATGTGAAATTACGGGTTATTATATATAAAGGGTTCACAGTAACATAGATACAACACTATTCACGAAACCATCACCATCATTACAGCAAGATTTATCATGCAAATCTCTCATTCATCACTTAATAATTGCATTGGGTATGAAGGAGTTCTTTTATGTCAGCTTTTGTTAAGGAAATTATCATTTTTTTACATGTAGTACGTGATGCATCCAGCAAAGCTGATAAAATGGGACTCAAAATTCTCTATAACGAAGGCTTTTATATAACAAAAAAATTGATTTTTTTTTTCTTCTAGAATTGAAGACCCTCAGAATTAACATCTCGACGATAATTGATTAACAGATAAACCGACTAATCAGCGAGCGTCATTTAGTCATGTGATCAAAAACTTTTTCTCTGACAGTTTAATTTTCTTAGACAGCTGGTTTAAACGTGAAACATACGTGAGCCTAGGCCTAGATGTCTATGCTTGGTTATAGATAACCAGATTTACACGAGCAGTGCGCATCAGTGACTTGGCCTTTGCCGACAACAAGATTGACTGAATGCAGCTTTTCCCTCTTCCTTTGGGAGCGAAATACAGAGGCTTTTACAACAATTTCCCATGAAATAAATTAACACTATGAATATATGATTCATTTGCATACCGCCTACCCTGAATTCTCTTTCTTAAAGAAGGTTGATAGCAAAGAAAATCTTTGCTAACTCGGTAAAACCAGCCGCCATTGTCTAAGGTTTTCGTGACATTGTGGGCGGGGCTTCGTGTCCTTGTCGACGGCAACGTTCACTATAGAGTCACAGTTTCACTCCATAAATAATAATTTCAACAGATCTACTCGTCTTGTACATTAAATTAATGTTCACTGTTTTGCATCGGCAATTTCAGGCCCGTAGCGCGACTTAATTTGTGGGAGGAAGGTTCATTTCCGTGGAAAGTGGACCCTTATCTCCGATACTCTAGAGAACATTGTAAATATATCTACGAATATCAATTTTTCGTTTTTAAATGCGGACCTTCTCCACTTTTTGGGCGGTTCGTCGTAATCCCCTTAACCCCCCCCCCACGCTACGGGCCTGAATTTGTTTTACGAATAAGTTACATCATACATTCCTAATTTGTAAAGATCCATTACGTCATGCAAATCAGACTGTTTAGGAAGAGCAAGAAAAGAAAGAATTTAAATACAATAAATGCAAAAGGAATTGTTTTTCATTTTAAAGTTCCTTGTTGTAATTTAAAATACTATACATTTTCTTGCGTAATCTTGCTAACTGACAGACAAGGGTGAATACATAACCTTCCTTGTTGGTGGTAATAAATAAGAATTATCAATTTTTTTTTTTTTTTATTATTATTAATAATTTTAACCATTCTGATAACAGAATAGTTGATGGTCATTGATGTGAATTGATTACGTTGACATTTTAACAAACAAGGCAGTGAAACTAATGATGTTAAATAGTATTACTTACAAATGATATACTGTATCTGCACAAAATGATAAAGTATGATTATGATTTATGATGGAATATTAAGGAATTTCATTCATGCAGATTCCTTTTTTCTTGTAAAACAGAGCAAAGATAATCACAAAGTTTATCACCCTATCTAAACTGGAAAAGTGCTGAGGGAAGGAGGCCTTTATTTTTTTTTTTTTTTATTTCGTGAAGTCAAATATCACCCTTGTGTTGTTTGCAGGTGCATTGAAATTCAAAGTAAAACATGATTGAGATAAATACAAACAATATCTATAAACTATTTAATAAAAAAAATTGGGGAAAAATTTTTCTGCAAAAAAAAAATTTCTTTTTTCAAAAATATTTTTTTTCAGTACCATAGAAGACATGCATGCAAGGGTGATAAAACTAATAATTATTTTTATTGCGCCTTATTTCCTATTTTTCTGCTTGCTGGGTTGTAGGTTACTCATTCGTTAAGTGCATCATGTAAACAATTCAAAAAGGTCTACAGTTCAATTCAATTCAATTCAAATTTATTCAAGCATAATTCAACACATTACAAATAACAAAACAATGAACAATAAGAAGATAATTAGTAAAACATTTACAGTTCAGGATAACCCCAAAAAACCGAATCGGTTTATTTCCGTTGGGGTCCCTAAAATCTCTAGGTGGGTTCACATTAACAGAGTATTGCCACAATTGCCAGCTTATTCACTAGTGTACCAAGTAGTTGATGAATATAATTATTATTGCAGTAAAATATTTTATTTAATTAATCTGCAACAATAACAATGTTGGATGAACATATTGACTATGAGCGTTGAAAGAAAAACAAGCAGAAATCAATTTAATTAGAAATTAAATTTTATAACTTAATAGTTAAAGCTATAGAACTGTACTACTACTACAACTAACTGTACTACTTTATATCATGCACCTTGGTAGGTATGTTAATTGCATACAAATTGTATCAAGGCCATGTTCAATGTGACAGCAAGAAGCTGTTCACACAGATCATTTAACTTATTCATGTGAAAGCTAATTTAATTAAAATCACTAATTGTGTTCAGTGATCAGTTTTACAGTAGAGTCAGATAGAATGACAAAATAAGCACGCAAAATTGACCATCACATGACCAAGCAGGAGTCTGATTGGTCTACCCATGGATTTTGGTGTCTCCCGCTGGGCTTCTTCCTGCCTTACCAACTGGCTCAGCCACAGGATTACTAGGAGTTAGTCAACATCCAGATGACCGTAGTCCAGTTAATGTGAACCCACCTAGAGATTTAAATGTGATTGAGTGTTGAAAAAAAACAAATTGCAGTAAGCTGGGGCAAATAATAGGTAATGAGAGTGCAGTATAGTGCAATGTGTTTTACCTGGTGATTATCTGGCACTTAGAATTTAATTAAAATCACTAATTGTGTTCAGTGATCAGTTTTACAGTAGAGTCAGATAGAATGACAAAATAAGCACGCAAAATTGACCATCACATGACCAAGCAGGAGTCTGATTGGTCTACCCATGGATTTTGGTGTCTCCCGCTGGGCTTCTTCCTGCCTTACCAACTGGCTCAGCCACAGGATTACTAGGAGTTAGTCAACATCCAGATGACCGTAGTCCAGTTAATGTGAACCCACCTAAAGATTTAAATGTGATTGAGTGTTGAAAAAACAAATTGCAGTAAGCTGGGGCAAATGATAGGTAATGAGAGTGCAGTATAGTGCGATGTGTTTTACCTGGTGATTATCTAGCACTTAGGCAATTATTTCTGGTAATAGGAAGAGTGAGGCAAGAAGCCAACCTGCATAATGATCAAATATGTGTTAACTTGCACTGTACATGCATGAACAGTAGCACAGAATGGTTTCTCAAACTTGGTGTCGAGGAGGAGCATGTTCAAATCCATTGCTGTCCATGATTGTGAGGGTGGGGGGGGGGATACTGTAGTTAAATTTTTATCTCCATTCAGGAATGTAAATGAAGATTTATTGTACCCCATCCCATTTCTTTTTAATCATAACATAAAATTAATAGGCCTAATTATAATAAATCATTTTTGACAATTACAAAAAAAAATTCAGCACTGCATATTCTTAAGCAAAACTGATATCCTCGCGTACCTCTATTCTGGGTTTAAACGTGTATTTCGTAAAATCGATGACCGGATCAAGTACAATCCTACTGACTTTCAAAGTTCTCACCTGTGCACAACTATCCCTACCTTCTTGACCTCCATCCTAAATATACCCTTTTGTTGTTCCATTCAATCCTCTCACCAATGCCTTCTATCTATTCCCTGAACCAACTTCAAAACCATTGGCAACATTTCACATTTTCACATTTGCATCTACTACTCTCTGGAACTCTCTCCAATCTTCTACAGTACAAACAATATCCACTTTCAAAGCTAACATTAAAACATTATTTTTAAGGAAACATCAAAACAGCATACAATATGTAGAGGTCTTAACAATGCGTTATATAAGTCTACCATTGTTATTATTATTTCTAGTCTATATTTTATAATTAACAAGCTTACAGTACATCATTTATTAAAAATGTTGTGAATTTATGCGATTAGTTAAAAACCAAAAACCACAGAAAAGTTGATGTTCCCCGCTCAATCAGGCAAACCCTGTTACAGTAAACAACACTATCCATTAGCTTCAGTAGTAAGATCTGCCTATAATCTTAAAGCCAGAATCTGGAGGCGAAAAAAAATTGATATGTTTTGCAACTGAAAACACAAAGATATGACAAAAAACTTGGAAGAGGTTGATGAGATACTTTTTTATACCTTTTTCCCCCATTTTTGAAATGTTCAAAAATCTGTATCTCATTAACCGCTCCAGAGCTTTTTGTCAAATATGGTTTTTGTGTCTTTAAAAAAATCAGTTTTACAACATATCAAAAAAAAAAAAAAAAAAAAATTCCGCCCGTGCCTAGCTTTAAGCAAGGCTTTTATCACCTATACTTTATAGTAGCTTACTGTATATGCCTACTGTAGTCTAATATTGTGACATGAGGTAATCAGCCACATATTATAATACACATCATATTGACCTTCATACAGTACATCAACTTCCAATCAATTTACATACTCCGCATTATTTAAATGCTTGATACAAGTATAGTATATTTCAATGACACTGAAACTGGGATTGTATTATTTTTACAGTACATTACAGGCTGTACTTATTATTTATTTATTTTTTTTTTTTTTTGCTGTGTATTCTTATTGTGACAATAGTAGTAGATTTTTTTATGTGATGCTAGTCAATTCATTTCAGATATGCTAAAAATAGTTAACCCAACCTTATTTTTTACGGATTACTATTACGGATCATAATTATAGGCCTACTAATTTTAGAAAATCCATCCATACACGTGCACAAAAAAGAAATACATCGTAGCACCATTTTTTTAAGGTTTCAATATTGGCATTTTTTAAGTTCTCATTTACGTCCATTTGATTAAATATTGTAAAATGATAAATTTAAACTAACACAAATCTACAAAATATTGGACGCGGACCTGTCACTCTACAAAGCACCACATTTAAGTATTCATTATCCAAATTACATTAGTACAGCACAGTGGAATGAGAAGAGTAATATTAATTCAGTATGTAGTAGGCAGTGGAACCATGATGGAATGTACCACTTCAGTGAATACAGCAGATACAAACGTGTATATGTTCACTAAATACAGTATAACAGAATAAATATAATTATTATGAAGTGCGCATTTTATTCACTAAAATAAATCAATGCGTGACAAATAAGGAATGTCTACATCTATTACAACATTTTAGCCTATATTGTACAATCCATTATTTTACTATTCTTTACCAGTAGGCCTATCTTACCTGCTTTAACATTATAAACAAAATTATTATTGTCTCCCAGTTGTTAAATCTAAAAAGGTCATTTGTCTTTCATTTGCAAAGGTTTTTCTAAAATTATAGTTAAGACGTAGCAGTATTCTATATTACAGTATGCTTTTATTCTTTTATGTATGGCAATGCTTGCAGTATTTGCCGAATTGGCTTCACAGAATGGTTATAATGATACTCTTGGCGCGGATCCAGAGGGGGGTGATGGTCGCCGACGTCCAGATCCTTCACCACCCCCCTTGGCCAATATTTTTTTAGGATGTTCGAGGAACAGAGAGCAAGAAATTAGGTAAATTATCAGGTGCGTCCAGGAACATACTAAATATGACAAGCTGATGCATGTAGATAGGTTGTACAGAAGTTTGTTGAAAGTAAGTAGCAAGATCTGAACTTAATGCATTAATCAATGGAAAGCCAGTGAAGGTCTCGGAGAACAGGGGTGATGTTAGAGCCACGATTTGTGAATGTTATAATGTGTGCAGCAGAGTTCTGAAGCACCTGGAGGCTGTAAATTTGAGATTTAGGAAGTGCGTAAAAAAAGAGAAGTGCAGTATGAGTGGTTTAATCACAGCTGTTGAGGGAGGTATGGGGTGCTTAATTGCTAGAAGCTTGTTAATATATACCGGTAACTCTTAACAAACAAAATTTTACATCTCGTGGCCTCACAGTCAAATTACTTATAAATTACAATTTTTACTATTACAAAAAGAACATATTCACAAAATTACAATTTTCGTTATTAAATACAAACACTGTATACAGTGGCGGATTTAAAGGGAGGGAGACTGCAGTGGTGCCAGAAATTTGCTGAAAAGGGGTCTGACACGTCCGACAGAGGGGTCTGAACACAGGGCCAGCTAGAGCCTCGGAAAACAGCCTGGAATGAACAATTTCTGGTGGGTTCACAAGGAGAGTTTATATGGCTTAGTATGGTCTAAATTGTGCTTTTCAGACCACAATATTAGGGTTTAGCAATCAAAATAACGTTATTTGGATAGGCAAATTTAATATATTAATTTTTATTTTCGATCAGACGACCTAGTTGTGTCGCCGGATGACAGACGACACGGTCGGGGGTCCAGGCCCATCCCACGGGGTAGCAAATTCCCCTGCTGCTGCCGCTGGGGTAGAGCAGGAGGGGAGGGTGTAAGGGGCACACACCCCTCCATTCTTTGTAAACATTTTTTTTTAAAGCTTCGGAAAATTCTAATAAATAGCAAAGATCAAATTAATGTAGGTGTTAGAGGTTTAAGGGGATTTACCCCTCCACCCCTCCCTCAGGAGATCTTCCTCAAAACTCCAACTCAAGTTCGCACATTTACGCCCCCTCTACCGGGCTGGGCGCCCCTGGTCCAAAGTTTGTACTTTAATAGCCAATCAATGAATTTGGATGTAATTATTGGAAGACAAAATTATTGAAGAGCGACTGTAGGCCTAAATGAATTAACATTTTCCGACAATAGTGTAATATATAAATCTGTTTGGTTTAATTATAAATATAAGATTTGATACTCACAGTTGAATCAGTGCGCTTAAACACTACAGTACAGTACAATATAGCTAGCTAAGTACAGGTATCTGACGATGTCGGAACACGGGGAACAGCTCGCTCGGTCAAATAAAAAAATTCACATCGAATGGCAGGAGAGGTTGTAGGGTAGGCCTATCAATCAATAGGCTGCGTGAGATGAGTGCTGGTGAATTAAAACAACAAATACACTGTCGATAGAAATAAGACGTTGTCGCTACAAATTCATTTTAGTACAAACCTACTTGCCAGCATGTTTGTGTAGATATGATGTGTTTGTATGTTGTCAGTCAAAAAACCATTAGAGCGTATCGCGTGTAAACGATATAAATCAATTAATAATGCTATCTTTTGATATGGCGTGAATAATAATAATGAAATTCACACACAGAGGGCAGTATACTCATTCTCCTTATCATTACAGCGCTTTCTTGGGGTTTGAAAATATGAGACTCAAATTCCTGCTTGGTCCTGGAAAAGGAATAGAAAATAAAACGATGGGCTCATCCCTAATTATCTTCTTTGATTTAGGGGGGGCCGGCCCGGCCCCGGCCCCCCTTTTGGGAGGTAAAAAAAAGGGGAAAATGAAAAAAAAGAGCGAAAAAGAAAAAAATGATAGCCCAGAATGCCTCAAATGTTATGTTCGGGCGTCTAGAACTTTATGTAGGATATTGATGTTCTCCCAGTTTGGTATGTGATTTTAACGGTGTAAACAAAATCAAAAACATTGTAGTTCATCCCAAAAACAACATAGAAAAGGAAACCACATGTAGGGTCGTCTATGAGATTGGATGTAAAAATTGTGACAAATTTTATATTGGCAAAACGGGCAGGGCACTAAAAACGAGAACAAAAGAACACATGAAAGATGTAGAGGAACATAACGGAGTAAGAACAAAGGCCGGCAGAAAATCCTCATCTACACAATTACACAAATCGGCTATAACGGATCATATGACGCAAGAAAATCACATACCAGACTGGGAGAACATCAATATCCTACATAAGGAACAAGGGTGGCTAAAACGGAAAATTAAAGAATCAATATGTATTAGAAAATAACGCTACAATGAATAGAGACGAAGGCGCACATCGCCTTTCACACCTATATAATCAACTGTTAAAGACGGCTGGAGCGGCCCACTACCAATGAGCATCGGCGGAAACCCTTCTCAGATTCTGACGAAGCCTTACTGATAGCCAGGCGAAACTGTCAACAACAAAAAACAGTGAGTAATTGGTTTATCACAAGGAATTATACATAATTATTGCTATTTGAAACCAGATGAAACTATTTACCCAATTATACAGTATATTGCTTTGTTGGAAAAGGAAACAGTGAGGCTTAATTTACCAATTACCTAGTCAAAAAGTACTATATTTTTATATATTATAATAATTGCAATTAAAAATTAACATATTTATTCGAATAATTGCCCTGCTTTGAATAAACGCTCCCTTGAATAAACGCCCTTCTAGAGATTTATTTGGAATAAACACCTTCCTCGAATAAACACCTTGAGGCAGTTTTTTATTTCGTCAAATAAACGCCCCCTAAATGACAAAATCTAATGGAAGCAGCAGCATTCTCAACACATTCTATTAATGTTCTACTCCAGTAGAATTACATTTTTTCTAATCTGGTTGGGATCAATAAATCTTTATGATTAAACAATAACGTATTTTGACAGTAATTATGTGTTGTAGTTTCCAGTGAAATTATGGGGCGTTTATTTGAGTATATACGTATCCATTTTACCTTTTCTCCCATTTCTTTATTCTATCTATTCTCTACTTGCTTATTTCCTTTCATTTCTATACCGATAATATTAAATCATTTGAACATCATAAATACATAACCTTAACCTTTAAATAACAAATGAGGCAAGTACCCCTACAATATATTGTTGGTTTTTATTGCTATACAAGAAGTATTTATCTTTACAATATTTAATCATCTCTATACATTCTAAAATTTTTGAAAAATTATTTAGTGGTTTAAAAGCACCTTAAGATGTTGCAGCTTTCTGTTTGAATTATTAAACAATTAAAAATTGGTAAATGTAACTAGCATGAAGGGGATGTTGTGACTGTCAGAAACAACCTGCACAATTTCACTCTTCAAGCCAACTGGGGAAGAACAGTTACACTGTGGAATAAAAAAAAAAAAACAATAATTAATCAATACAATATATGTAGAAGAAAATAGTCCAACACAGTTTACGACAGTGTTAAAAATAGGCTGCAGCAGGACTGTGTGTCTACTGTTTGACATTTTTTTTTTTGCTACTTTTGACTCATCCATGCTTTCTGTGTTGGCAGTTCACTAGAATATATACCAGATTGCTGTGACTTTTTAATGAACTTTCTAGGACAGGTCTTATTGAGCAGCTTTCTGTGTCGTCAACTCAACTGATAACTTACTGTAACAGGACAGGTCTTATCTAGAATGGCATCATATTTATTTCGTAGACTTGCTTTTCATTTTTTTCTTTAGCTCATGACCCATCCCATCATTCCTCCAACGGATTTACTCTTACAAGGTTAACTGCCAAATGACAACAAAGTTTATACTACCACTCTGGAGCAGTAGACACAAAAATTATAAGGAAAACTATTACAATAGTTAGTACTTATATATGTTCCACTACACAGCAAAGTACATAAGCAGTTGACACTTACCAGATACTCAATAGGTAAAATATATCTCTCCTCAAGTACATTCAAATATATTTATTTATTTATTTTATTTTTTTATTTTATTTTATTTATTTTTTTTTTGTCGTCAGGGAGTGTTATGTAATATTAGGATTCAATAATATTAGTTATGTAATGATTGGAATTTGTATATCGATGCCTTATATTTTATAGTGAGCCTGCTCTATGTCTCAACTTAGTTTGACAGTTGAATGCCCAACAACATTATAAGGGTATAATAATCATTGATTATACCAGCGGTCATTCTATAGTTACAACATCTTACCTCCTTGGACAATTACTTATACCCAAACATTCCCAAACTAATAAACTAAGAGTAGGTAAATAGAGTCAACAGGTGATTTAAATCATAAGAATTTCTCTATAATCCAATCAGAAATCCCCCCAAAAAATGGTCTTTTTTAACCACACTGCCAATAGTAGAAGGTATATAGAGGAACACAATATCACTAACACTCAGAAGACACAGAGAGATACACACTTGGAAACTGACTCTGACTCTAATCCGGTTCTAACTTGCAATACCATATCAACTGCGTAATCTGGAGATTAGTCAATTTGTATACAGTATATTATTAGTACAGCAGATATAGTATACTGAATAAAGGCATTGCAGCAAAGTATCAAGAACTCATCATACCAACAACACCCATCATCTATCTTACAGGAGGTCTATACATGTAGCTTGGATGTCTGTTTTGAAGCAGGGGCCAAATGACTGTGTTGTAAGCCTGCATAAATTGAATACCACCAGTGGAATTGTTGCGTGAAATATGTCTGTCTACAGTATATACTATTTGTTTCATAATTATGTTTCGAAGATAATAAAGACACTTACTCATCAGTTACAACGCCTTCAACTCCTTTCTTGATCATGTCTTGTACCAGTAATGGATTCTTGTTATCTTCTCCCCATATGAACAGGTGAAGGTTGGCATCATGAATAAGCTTAATAAGAGATTCGTCTCTTACATAATCATCAACGTGTCCCACTAAACCCTAATGAACAAATATTAAAATTGCAAGTTTATTATTGGCATAATAAATTCATGTCAAAATACTCAATAGTTCTTTTTATCAAGCAAGCTGCAAAAGGATACAAGATTGAAATTGGCTACAGTATCAATAAAATATGGTTCAAAATGCACCCCAACAATCAAGCATTGAAAGTAAGTTAACATTTTGCATAGCAGTGGCAGATCCAGGAATTCGAAATAGGGGGGGAGGGAGGATTAGATTTCCCCGACGAAAGCAAAGTGGGCGTGGTTGAGCTTCGATTAAAAGGCTTCGAAAGTGGTCCAGGGGGCGAAGACCCCGAAAATTTTGACAATTTAGGGGTTTCAAAGCCTTATTTAATCGATTTTAGAGTCTACTAATATGTAGAAAATACACATAATTTTGTTTTCTCTAAGACAAATTGTGCTTTTTTTCCCGGCGCCCCCCGCAGACGCTACCCCTGAGGCACATTAACTCTATATTGCAAGTTGCTATGTTGACCAATATGGCAGGGATGGCAGCCCGCATTACATTCACGTAAAGAAGACTAAAACACAGTTTATCAACAATACAAGCTGGTTATAAGCATTGTAGCTGAATGTATTTATGAGAATGCTTCCACCACTCACCACAAGTTGTTCCGCCAAGACCCAGTGCATGGCAGAGTGTACAGTAGCAATGCGAGGGTCTGCATACTTAATGTACTTCTCTGTGGGTCCACAATGAATCAGCATTACTGGGAAACGATTCTGCTTCATGCATACACTGTGAATATCAATTGATTGGCACAACTTATAAACACAATATTATAATTGTTCATTTGACATCATTTGGAGAGAACAACTCAATATAATAATAAAGGTAAAGGAATACTTATAAAAGTATATAGTAAAGTTTGATGAACAAAGACATCTAAAAAACTTTTTTATCAGAAAAAGCCTACATGAAATGCATTGCAAAAATGGTGAGACTTACAGAGTGCATACATCAGGATCAAAGCAAGTGATGATGATGTTGCGAGACTGAGCATGCTCAATGAGTACTTGTAATACATTGTCCACCAGCACTGACATGTCCATGCTATAATCTGGACATTCATTTGTTCCATCCTGCAAGATAGCACAAGGCAACCCAACTTAATGATATTACCTAAATGCTACTGTATTCAATTGAATTATTTTCCAGATGACATATAATAGACTATTTTAATCGCTCAGTCTGTTGGATTTTATTGATTAGTTATATGTAAAAAAACTTATTCTAGTGCAGAAATTGTAAATAAATTAACAAAAAACAAAAAAAATTATACGTTCTCACAAAAAAAATGTAACTCTCTTGAAATAAATAAATAAACACACCAACATTATACTGTAGCTTTAGTCATATTTGTAAAAAGAAATTCTTTGAAATTATTATCTTATTGAGCATTTATATAATGCATTTCGTTAAGCGACAATATTTTATCCCTAGTCATTAGACATACATTCTTTGTATTGCCTCCGCCACCGTGCAGTTGCAAATAACCATACCAGGCATTCATTTGCATTCATTCCTAGGTGGCGAGAAGCAATGCAGAAAGAGCCTTGTCAAGAACACATACCTGTATTGGTATTAGCATGATAATGAGATTATGACAATACAGAATGAAGGTAACACTAAACTTACCACATTATGCAAAGGATACTTGATCTCGACATTAAAAGCCAGCTGTATTGGAGTGTTCTGCAACACTTTGGTTAAAGGAGGGAACAGTCTGTCACTATCCTTCACATCTATTAAAAATCATGAAAGAACAATCAACCATTGATTATAACCTTAAAATATGTTAATTGCTAACCATAATTAACACTGTGCTTTCCACCCTTCTCTTACAACATATCATTTGTAGGTTTGTTTGCACTAACCTTAAATTGGTAGTAATTAATTTAAAATTTCTGTAGTAAAATGTTTGTAAATAAGTGAAAACTGATGATTTGTACTATAAGAAATCAAATTTTAATATTACTTTCATTCCTCTTGGCAGTATGTGTTGTCTGAAAGGAATAAAAATAAAACAAATATTCATTGGTTGTGACAAACTAGTAACATAATAAAGTGTTGACGTAAAGATGTACTGTCCCCTGATTATTGAGATCATGTGTTTAATTCCTGCAACAGTAACAGGATCTTGTTCCCAAGACCAAAAGCAATTCAGTCCCTAAACTTCATAATGAGACATGCATACAGCATCGATACTTGTGTGTATGTTTGTCTTGTGAAGGGATTGCCACAATCCCTTCAAAGTGATTAAGTTCACTGTTTGTCATATCCTTGGCTCTAGTGCCCAGCACTGAATAAATTAATTAAAAAAATAAAAAATGAAAAAAAAATCATACAAAATAATTATGAAATTAACTTGCCCATTTTGCAGCAACATACAAATTATTAACTTATCTGTTAAGGTAATAATCTGTTTCTTCATGCTACATCATACTAATGTAACAACTAATGTCCCAGCCCATTATACCCATGTCCATAATCCCTGTAGTATTGTTCCCCAACATTGGCAGCAAATAAAGAATGTATGGGCCATTAAGCTTAGTTTTCCATAGATTCGCTACAGTCACTACAGTGTTTTTACTGCAATCCTTGCACTGCGTAGCGGTCCCCGATGCAATCGGAAACGCCCCCTGATTCAACTGACCAATCAGCATTGCCAAAGAAGTCGGCGATAGCGTGTAGCGATTTTTATGGAAACCAGGCTTTGTATCAGAAGCATACCTGCACACTTTGAAGCTCTTCAAAGCTGAAATCTGTCAATAGGATCCTATGCTGCAGATGTTTGCCAGTATCTTCAGCCTGTGAAAAAAATACATAAATATATATCAAGGAATTAAATTATAAAAATCTAATTAGAAACATTAATTTTACTTTTGAAATATATAGGTTGTAAAAATGACATGTAAAAAGGAAGCTGGATGAAGATGACATTAAATGAAAATAAGTGTTCCAGGAAGCTGGAAAAGGGTGACACAAAATGAGGGTAAGATACTAGAGTAAAACCAAGGTATAGGGTAAACCTTGGCCGAGCCACTAGGGCCCAAAGGGCTGGAACTTACCCCCAAATTCTGCAGCCTGAAGCAGATGAGAGTGTCATGCTCCCCCTGGGTGGGACACTGGTCCACTGTAGGTTACTCCCAGCAATCTGCTACTACCCATAGACACAGCTGGTAGACTGAAGCAATGTCTGGAATAACCTAAACCTCAATATGAGAATGGCCCCAAATGTTCTTACTTTTAAAATACTATTAACAAATAATTGAAAGTTTCTTGCATAAGATAATTTTATATTTTTTGGTTTCTTTTTATTTCTTTATTTCTGCTTTTTTTTCCTTTTTTTTTTGGTCTTGTAATTGTTTTTGTAATTTAAATTTTGTTAATATTTACTTTAAAAACGGCTTGTGAAAAACACATTTAATTTGTGATCAAGTTTTCCGCTTTCAAATAAAGTCATTATTATTATTATTATTATTATGTTGATAAAATGCCTTGCTGAAGGACACAAGCGAAATGCACAGTGAAGGATTGAAACCCTGACCTTGAGGTTGGGAAACCAAACAATTTCCACTGCGCCAAACGGCTTCGTTCCATAAACCGCTTTGTAAAATCAAGGTATAGGGTAGATGTGGATGTCATGATTACTTACCATCTGTAGACATACAGGTACATTGTAATCATGATACACTACCGGCACATGGTCTTTGCACACATGTACATCAAATTCAACCATATCAGCACCCTAGAAAATTATAAAACACAACATCGTTGATGATGATCATGAATTAGTATATTAGTAATATATGTTGTAATCAGTGGAGGACTATAATGGATATGCAGTGTTTCAAGTAACCCCAGCAAAATAAATAAATAAATATTACTCTTTTTGCTCTGTGAATATATTTTTAAACTCATATATTTTGTGCACCTTCTTCATACTGTAGACTATTCATTTTTTCAAACACTTGAAATGAGATTGAAGAAGGGATAAACCCAGCAAAAAGAGTTTCAATTTTACGCAGTCTGTTAACCACAAATACATCAATACATCTGGCCGGAAAAATGTTTTCACCTTTTTGTTCCCTCTACCATGGAGATATTATAGTGAACTGGAGAAACAACCGCGAATTTAGTCCTTTGACGACCATTAATGATAAGAATCTGTGGTCACGAGACATGCAGTTTGAGCAAAGCTCGGTAATAGGAAAACTTGTGGCTTCCTTGGAAAAGGACATATTTGATGTTGTACAACTACTGTTTCTCCAGTTTACTATAATATCTCCATGCCTCTACCAGTGACCACATTGAATAAGGTCTTATTTGGATTGGAATTATTTGGATTGGAATTATTTCCAGTGGGGTCCTTCTTGGTGATGATTGAGTAGTACACCAGGAGACAATCCCCTACTATTTTCCCAAAAATGTACTGCATGCATTCATTAACATGCACACGAACAGTTTAAATGTACAGCATGGTAGTCATTGACTATGAACAGTTAAAGTTTAAATATCTCCCATTAACAATCCAAAAACACCATACATACTGTACATTGAAAAAGCGAAAATCAGAAAAGGTAATATCAATGTACTTAGGTATTGAGGAGCAAGAGAAACCATCAAGTTGTATGTTAGTCCTATCAAATAGACAAGGATGCATGCTATGAATGTCAAGCCTGGTTTCCATAAAAATGCTACACTGTCATACAGTGTTTTCAGTGCAATCGTTGTATCGCGTAGCAGTCCCCGACGCAATCGGGAAGGCTCCCCAATACAACCGACCAATAAGCATCACCGAAAGCTGTCGGTGACAGCGTGTAGCGATTGTATGGAAACCAGCATACGATTCCGGAATGCGATTGCCTAGTTTGTGACTTACTGCTTCCACTGCCCCTTTGAATGCACCAATGGTATTTTCAATAAAAGTTTGTGCTGTCTTTCGAATACCACTTCTGTTTAAAAAAAAAAAACATCAATAATTGATTAAAAAAAAAAAAAAAAAAACAATCCAATGATGGAAGTTAGGCATACATAAAATTCTTTATTTAGATTAATGCACAAAAATAGTAAATTACTTGCTTCTTTATACACATTAAGGCTGTTTTCCACAAGGCAAATTTGTTCGTGCAAATCGAAAGCATTGGTTTGCTTCCTGAGCTCTGATTGGTTGCGCTTTTTTATTTTCAGTTCGCAAAAAGTAGAAACAGTTCCGACTACTGATTTTGCTGAAGCAAAAAACTCCCAATAGAAATGTGAATATCTAAAACTAGCTCCAGCTAAAACACAAGAAGAGCAGCGATGGGAATTGAAAAAGAGACCAAGAAATCTCCATGGTACAGTGACAGTAAGGAAAGTTTTTATTGCGCATGTAACCAAGGACTTTTAACTGTTACCAGGATAAGAAAGCTGGCTGGTTTAAGCTGTCTAACTTGAATTAGCCTTGTGTGATACTGTTATGCTAATGAGCCAGATATAAGCACAATCTGCACATGCTCAGAAAACAAAACTTTTCTTTAGCCACAATGCGTATCGGTTAGGCATACAGCTAGACCTACCGAGAATTACATTACGGTAAAACAAAGCAAAGTAAGGGTAATACACTTGGCATGCAAATTAATCATACTTACACCGATCTGTGAAAAAGGCATATTAAAATAAAAAATATTGGCATTTTTGAGTAATTATTTTAATTTTATAAAGTAGTAAGTATAAAAATAATTTTATTGCACTTGTTAGTTAGTTGATAACTTCATTTTAATTTGTTTTAGGTCTTTTTCTGCATTTTTATAAGCGGTTAGGCATGCCCTAGGCCCGGGCCTAGGCTAGCCTATATGTTCATTGTATTACTACAAAACAAAATCACATCAATTTAGAATCAAATTTGTGAACATACTTGCCTTATATCTTAACTAGCAGGTGATTTTATTGGTAGATTAGTTTGTTTTTAAGTGTGTAAGTATGATTAATTGGATGTTAAGTGAAATTAGTACCCTTTATTTTGCTTTGTTTTACCGTACCATAATTTTCAGCTAGGCCTAGCTGTACGCCTATCCGATACGCAGTGTGGCTAAGGAAAGTTTTGTTTTTCTGAGCATTTGCAGATTGTGCTTATCTGGCTCATTAGCATAACAATACCACACATAAGGCTAATTTAAGTTAGACGGCTTAAACAAGCCAGCTTCCTATCCTGGTAACAGTTAAAAGTCCTTGATGTAACTGTATACTCAAAAAGTTACAAAAAAATATATATAATCCATTCATGCATTTATATTTTGAGTCACATCGCAGAGAGGTAAAACTAAAGGAAACTCAAATGTATCACTTAATTTGCATGCAAACTATAAATCTCATGTAAGCAAAATTGAGTAACTCACTCATATAGCAAGCCTTTGTTCTTAAATGACACTCCCATGCCTCGATGACCTACACTTAGGCATCTAGTACTTGTCCACTGGTAAGGATTCTGAAATGTACACAAACTACTGCACTTGGGAAGTGGCTTAATGACAACATATTGCACTGAAAGATAGAATATCAAACAATTAATACACAGAACATTAAAAATCAGATTACCCTAGTCCATGGTTACTGTAAATATGAACTCAATTAGGGTTTAATGCTGTTTGTTAGCTATTATGGGTTTTACATGTCATCAGTCCAGTCTTGGCTGAGTCACACTGCATGATATGGTTTGTGTGGTCACATAATTGTCAGTGACTGGCTGTCATGCTACATGTTGTATTGAGAGTTGTATATTATCACATAATATTAATTATATTTATATAACATGCTTATCATTGGTGTTTATACTGTTACATGTTTGCATAAAATACAAATACATATAATACTGCCACTATACTGCCTATATTGCTTACATATGCCATTACACATGATTTTCATCTGCTAAAATTACAAAAAAAAACTGACCAGAATGTTAAATTTTAATTAGGTCGGCATAAGCATAGCCAGTTAAAGGCCTGGTTACACTATGACGATAACAATCAACGATAAAAAGCTAAAAAAAACAATTGCTCATATAAAAAATCAAAGAAATAATAGAAATTTTCACACAGCACAATTCACTAACGATTTATCATGTATACGATAAAAAATAACATAATCAGAAATATAATAACATGAACTCATATTTATGGAAAGATGATAAAATCGTTTTTACTACTACAATTATACAGGGTTTCATGTTTTCAATGTGACATTTAATTTGATTTGTCAAAATATTCTGTTATCGTATACATGATAAAACTGTAATGAATTGTGCTGGTTTGAAAAACCTCTTGTATTTCTTTTAATTTCTATAGGAAATATTGTTTTTAGCTTTGTATCGTTGATCGCTATTATCATAGTATAAACAGGCCTTAATTCACCACATAAATTTTAATGTGTTTTTCTTACCTTGAAGCACACCCACAACTTCACCACTTGTGTTGGTGACTGGACAATGGAGATCATCTCTAGTCTTTGTGAGCATTGTACCTAAAACAGCTACTTGCCCGAGTATATTAACATCACCATGTTCTTGAAAACTTAACACCTCAATTACAAACACCTACAAAAATAATCAGTTACCTATTCTTACACATTTTGTCATCAACTTGAATGGGAATGGTTTGAAAGTTGAGGTTAGTATTCAATAGCCACATGCTATAACACAGTTCATTCAAGATTTCACACATACGACACGTGCGAAATACTACAAGTACAGTACTGTACTTCCAAAAACAGTTCTACTGTGAGCAACATCGTCTCCACACGAATGAATAGACCATTCCGGAGTGTCAATCAAACTTATCAAATGACCAATCAAAACAGTGCCAGGTATACGTGCGTGTTCCAACAAACACACGTGTTGTTCCACAAATGCACGTGTTACGCTATGGTTTTGTAGGACCTTAGGAACAATATGCTACAGAGTCAGTGACGATACACCTTCACACGAATGCAATGTAGAAAGGGATGTTTAATTTCCTATCAGATAAATAATAACTCACCGTATTTTGGAGCTCTAGTACTTGAGAGGAGAACACCATAATCTCATTGTTTTTGTAATGTCTTCCATTTTTGGCTTGTGGTTTTGCAATGTACTCATCTTCATTCACAACCTAAAATCAATGAATGTATAGAACAGTGATAGATTTTTTTTTTTTTTTATTTTCTATTTACCTAATAATCATATTATAAACATGATACAATTTTCAAACAACTTTAGGTGCAATGGTCAAAGATACGCCAAACTTTTTAATCAATGTTTTAAGTGACAATACCTTCACTTAAGAAAAATATATATACAAATTGGCTTGAGATATTGGAATTGTTTAGTCAAGAGAGTAACAGTTGTGTATTTTGGTCATGTAATAGACAATTCTTTAATATATTTCCCTTTTTCAATTACCTTAATTTGTGTTGGGATGCACTCATCGTTCCTTTGACAGATATGATTTGCTTTTACACGGAAACCAATCTTGGTCACCTCCTTGGTCTTAATGAACAACTCGAAAGGGTTACTATGCAACATCAACCTCACTTCTGATTGGTCAGTCAACCAGCCACCTCTGACACTTCTTATGCCATCTATGAAGGTGATAAGAAAAATGTTTATTTCAATATGTTCACATCAACCAGTTAATGCACACTAATTACAGAATGGATATATGGTGATTTGGTAATACTAAATCTTATTGTAGCAAAAATCCTGTGTGAATTTTCTCATTTTTGGATGGCCTAAGTGTCACGGTAAATTCAACCAAGGATACGTTGCCACCTGAAAGAATAACCAGGCTGTTTTTGCAAACAGTAGAGTCCAGTTAAAAAAGCGCAACAATTTTATGATAATGTGCTAATAAACTGTGTGATTTACTGAAATTTTCACAGAACATATACTTGATTAGAACTGCGCATGCACAAAAATCTCACTTAAAACCAACGTGTATTTAAATCCAAGTATGAAAAGCAGTACAATTTGACTATAGGTAGAGTTTTGCCATGGTCAAAATTAATGGCTTAAGATATAAACAGTGTCACATTTTCTCAAATTCTCACCAAAATGCTTTTTTATTTATAATTAATCAGTGAAATTCATGTACATCTGCGGTTTCATTTTTCATTTGAAAAAGAACATTCTTCTAGATTTACATAGTACAGTAGATTCAAATTTTTAGATCTTTATTGTTTAAATTACTTGCCTACCTTTGATACACATTTATAAATTTTAAAAACAGAGAAAAATTTACCTTTGTGACCAAAACAGCCATCATCAGTGTATACTGTTTCACCTAAATCAAAGAAATGAACAAAATCAATCTATATCAATGCTCAAATTTTATCATTTGGAATAAGTCATTTCATAGTTTCAATTGCCCATGTATAAAATTCAATGCATACAAATCACTCAGCTTACGGTCTATCCAGAAAGTTGATAAAGTTTATAGTTATTAATTTACAGTATGTACAGTAACATGCCGATGGGACAAAATCTTATGTATGTATCTCAGCTGATAACGAATTGATATTTCTTGCTTTAAAAGAACTTTTACGTCGACTTATTGAGTTAAATGTTTATATACTATTTTTGAAGACTCTGAAATACAATTTTAAGTCTTTTTTTTGTATGTAGTGAGCTCGTAATTGGGAGGTTCATAATTGGGAGGTTCGAAATTGGGAGATGTTACTATAATAGATCAATTATTAATTATTGTTTTGGTTACTATACTCTTCAAGAACTGTATTAAATTAAATAATATAAAAAACATACATTCGAGGTAACTATAAATTAAATGATTGTTTGCAACATGACCTAGACTTGTAAATTCATATATTACTTATTGAACATATTAATAATATAGCTAGAATAATAGCAAACCATAAAGTCAACAATAATTAACATATTTATAAACAATCATAACAATAACAAACTGTCGAAAAATCCATCCTCTTTCACATATCGTTTTAGCTGAGGGACTATCCAGTACAAAATAACGCTAATATTCTCCTATAAGGCTCAGAATCAAAAACAACTATAAATATCAGACAAAACAAAACAAATAAACTAAAAATAAATTGTTATACCTTTCAAAGACAAAACTCTGGGTTCCATGTGCGTTTCCCATTTGTGAATAATTGTGTTTGCTTGTCCATCCTTTTCAGTAGGAAAACTACAAATTGCATAACGATACTCAATCAAAGATCCAACATCCACTGAATTCAAATTCACCTCTAATGTCCATCTGCAAATATTTAATACAGATTTTTTAATACAAATGTTTTTTTTAAGCTATTGTAGGCATGCAGCCAATTTATTATCAATCTTAATTACTTCTAATTTTATATGTATTCTTTTTTTTGTTGTTATAGATAAGAAAAGCTTTTCCAATATTCATTCTGTCTTCCCATTGGTCCAAACTGTATCACTTTATTCTTGTATTACTCCTCAGCTATATATAAGCTTAGTGTTTAGCAGTAGATACTTTCACTTGATAATGATGGTTGAACCATTGAAACATGTTGTGGTATAACTCTTTATAATCTGGCTTTAACTGCATGGTGTTTCAGTTACACTTTAACCCATTAGCACCTATACGCCCCAAACCGCCCTGCGCATTACTCCCTAGACCGCCGTAAACAGCCCTGGCTATTCAACCCGCTATAACTTCTGTTATACAAACCCTAGCGTGTCGCGAAAAACTTCTACATAAACTTTAGGAAATCCCTTTTCAGAATATCTCATCATCCAATGAGATTTCTATTTGAAAAAATGACGTAATTTGCGTTCAAAGGTCAAACAGTTGAGAAGAAACGAAGCTTTGAATCGCTTGACTAGCTTCGCACAATGATGCCACAGCAAGCGCCGAACATCTTATAAAGGGAAAACTTTTTCAATGATAAATTGACCTTAGATTTGTCTACCGACAGCGACATCGCTGTTTCATAGGTTAGTAATATTATAGGTTAACCAAACAATAAAATATATGGTCATAAAATTATAGTATTATAGTATACGGTATATATAGTAACTCTTATTTACAGGCATTCGCACAGCAGGCAGGCATAGGCTAGGCCTAGGCTAGTGATGGTGATTGTTGTAAACAGAGCTCGTGTCCTCTTTATGTACGGTTGATATTGATAATACAATAACTGTTTTGAAGAATTGAAATTATTATTTTGACACACCACCATCCATTTCGTAACTATTATTTACATGCCTCGACCAATGCATACTTTGTACAAAACACTTACTTAGGCTGGCCTCGTACTTGAACGTAAGTAATAACATACCCTGCAAAAGCTCTAGTCTTAGATACCGTAGATATTTATGACCAAGAAAGAGATGGATGGGCTGCATCAAACAAGTTGGAAGATTGGTGGACCTAGAAGCCGTAATGGATTGCACCAGATGGAGAACGATAATGAGATGACCCGACCCCCAATGAGCAGACAAACATGATGATGTGTTAAAAACTGCAAGATACAGTTAATCCTGGAGATTTGTTTTCAGTGTAAACTTACCTTCCATCGCCTAATCTTGACATTGATTTGACCCCGTTGTACAGCCATCGCCCAAGTTCTTGGCAATTACCACTAACTACCACTACTGTGTTCGGGTCTGTAATGTCGGCATCAATGTTGAAATTCACTAACACCATTTTCCTTTTTGGTAATCTAATGAATACAACAACAAGAAGATCTACATTACCTTGTTTTATAATATTTTACTGGAAGAACTATCTGCAATATGTAGCCAATAGCTAAATTTATCTACTACCTTGTTTACACCGACTTATTATAAATATGAAAATAATCAGAGGCGGGTAAAAAAAAACAGGAGGGGGAGGTATGCATACGCTAAACAAGTATATTTTTATATTTGGCCAATGGCATTTTGAATACAGGTTGTTTTTTAACCTCCTGGGAAGTGGGTGGTGAAAAATTTCCTGACTGGATGTTTGTTTTAGTCGTCGCTTGTTTGGGTCGACGACGGTATCTAACTGCCAAAAGACAGTTAGGCGAGACTTTTTTCATACCTTGTTTCAGGAACTAATTTTTTTAAAGATTGTTAGAGAAGGGTGGAAAAAATTAAACTAAAATTTTGTTTCCTTATTTAGCAAATATTTAGGAAGAATTATACATCTTATTTTTGGAGATTTGAACAAGGCAGTGGTGCGCAGTGGGTGTAATAAAAATAAAGAAAATTCTTCTTTTTTTTCTAAAAAAATTTCCATTTTTTTTTTCTGAAATTTGTTTGTGACTGCGGGGTGCGCTAATTGAAAATATAATTTTATTTTTATTCGAAATCAACATTATTGGCAGGCAGTGTATTCGCTAAATAACGTATAAAAAAAGTCTAGTCGCAGACTACTACTAGGCCTAGCCTAGTAGGCCCTGGCCCTAGGCCAGGCAGGCCGGATCTGTCAGTGTCACTGGAATGTACCCGGCCAGTCCCCACATGATGATACAGCTACATCATAGGCCTAGGCTAGGTCTAGGCCTACTATAATAAAAAAAGTAGGCCTAGGCCTAGGTAAGTTTTTGAAGTAGCCTAGCTAAGAAAGATTTTACTCACCTGCTAGCATAGGCCTAGGCCTATTATTACTCTAAAGATTGTTTCTATTGCACTAGTTAATTACCAGCTAGGCCTAGGCGCGCTGGGTCTCCGTAGTTATTATAAAAATTCCAAATAGCTATGAAAAATTCAAACAAAGTTTTAATGCGTATGGAACGCTAAAAGGGCAAAACCAAGACACGCAAATAATAATAATAATAATAATTATTATTATTATTATTATTATTATTATTATTATTAATGTTATTGTTATTGTTTTATTGTTGTTATTGTTATTAATTATTGTTATTGTTATTGTTATCATTAATACCATCAACTAAACTGCCTTAAAAAAAATGGTTCGTGTGGGAATCGAACACACAACCTCCAGGTTTGCTATCATTATCCACTATCAACTACACTGCCTTAAAAAAAAAAAAAAAAAAAACTGGCTCGTGTGGGAATCGATCCACGATCTTCAAAAAACAAAAAATAAAAAAAATAAAAATAAATAAAAAAATTTAAAAAAAACTTGCCCCGTGTGGGAATCGAACCCACGATCGCCGAGTTTACTACTCCTGATCCAGCATGACTAAACGGAGGGAGGTAAACCGCGGCCCCTAAACCATAAATGCGATAAACCTAGTACCACACCAAGTACCAGTTAGTCAACTCTAATCCTATTAGAAAAAATTCTTTGTATATATACACAGCAGGTTAGTATTACGCATGGTCATGGTGTCAAAAAAATGGGCCGTGAGCCAAGAGGGTTTATTTTTTGTCTAAAAATGTATAATTAAATTTATAATCGATTTATGATTGATACCATCTCCATAACTTACACACTTTTTTTTAAATAGACAAAAATGTTGGAAAACTTCATTATGCAAATTAGAAAAAAATAGACCAATCATGTTACGGGATTGAATGTATTGTACTAGTTGATGACGTCGCGAATTGCGAATATAACAACAAACAACAACCTTTCATGTCTCAGCATGGGAACCAGTCAATTCGAGCGGATGCGCGCCACTTCGAGCGAAGGCCAATTCGAGCGAATTCGAGCGGATTTTCTTTCGAGCGGATGCTAGTTCGAGCGGAAGAAGATCCACTTGTGCGAACAACAACCTGTGCGAGTTACATACGAACTACTTAAAAATTTCTATTTTCTATTTTTGAGCTAACAGTTTGCTCAAGCTTTGCCTGGGAGGCAGGGGAGAGCCCCAGTCGGTTCCGGGAAAGACGGGGAAGACGCCTATAACCTTATGTATAGCAAGTCGTATTTAATGGATTTTTAGCTTAACAAATAATAAAGTTCTGTTTGTTCTGAATGTATATGGTAACTGAATCCTATTGAGAATAGGAATTTCCTTTATAGCCTGCCATTTCTATCTTAGAGTAAATAAATAAATAAACAAACAAACAAACAAACCCACATTCATAAAAATAATGATATATCTTAAATTATGCTAACTTAGTCAATGTTATCCTTTCCACAAGTTTAAAAAAACAGTGGGTTTTGAACTTTAGAAGAAAATTGGTATGATGTCATTATTACTGTACTGTTGATACTAGTCATAGGGGCGGATCCAAAATTTTTCAAAGGGGGAAGGGCACACATCAGTTCCAGAATAGATAAATGAGTAACACATAATATTAATATGCATTGACATTTTTAAAATAGTGGCAAAACCGCCCCTTTCTCACACTACTACACCATTCATTTGTGCACCTTCTGACACACCTACATACGTAAAAATAATTTAAATCCCTATGGTGATTAACAATTACACAATTAAAGTTGCTCCCATTTACAAATAATATAGGCCTTAATCGTAAATCTACAAATACAATTACAAAATTATATAATTCAATTACAAATATAGTTTGCTTTTTTTAAATACAAAACCCCAATCAGTGGCGGATATGGGGGGGGGGGGCTGGGGTGGGGGGTGAATAGGGTGGCTAGCCACCCACCTTTGTTTACCGTGAACAAATGGTCACTCGTCTTGTGTGTGTGCTTCTCGTGCATGTTTTACTCGTGTAAAACATGCACTTTCTTTTTTAAGCATTTCAATTTGTTGCTTGAAGTTTTCTCCATGCATTGCCGATTTAATCACTTCGCATCGTTAAAAGCTATATGAACTATTAGCACATTACAGTGGCGGATCCAGGGTGGGGGGTTCAGGGGGTTCGAACGAACCCCACTCTGTGAAGAAACGTAACAAAATACTATGGGTCCTGTCTTACAAAATTCATGCTAACTAGACGCGGATCCAGACCTTCGCCCACTGCGCCCAGGCGAAGGTCAGGGTGAGAATTCAAAATAAAATGTTGACCATTTTTTCTAACAATCATACTTACTTTCCTTGATGCACAGCACTGGGGCCCGGGGCTATTGGGGGCTCGTTCAATAGGTCTATTGATCTAAAAATATAACTTTTAAAAAATCCTATTTAAACATTAAAATGACCCTACAATAATAATAGGTTTTAGATGTTATATATTATTGATTATATTCATTACAATTTACCTATTACCATTTCCCAAACGCTGCAAGTAAAAAAAAAACAACAAAACAAGCCCTTACGTATACGATGCACTACTTTGAAATCACATTTCTAAAGCAATAAAATATCGTCACGCACATTTGTGTTTGTGGTAATAAAGTTGGTTGAACTATTATTGTGTACATTTTTAAACACTTCAGATCATCATAACATCATGAATACATTTTAGATTCAATTCACTGCAAGTAGGTCGATGACTGTTCTATTATTGAATGGTAAATGTTATTTTCGTGACGATAGACAATACCTGGATTTGCGTCAGGAGAATCAATTAGGGGCCTATATGTGTTTTGCCCAACCTGTCGTGAAAATATATTGAATACTCAGTGCGTGATTCAATATACATTTTTAAATCACATTTCTAAAGCACTAAAATATCGTCACGTACATTTATATTTGTGGTATCACTGTGTCCCACTTTAGCCAATTTGGCAACCACTGGACACAATGAAAAAGAATAGGATTATTTTGGAAAATATTAAACAAGATATTTATAGTTTATCACTGCCTCCCACTATAGCCAATGTAGGGCACTGAAAAAAATTGTTGGATCATCACCCCCACTCCCTGTCTCTTATACACATCTTTTGTTTTGAATGTATATGGTAACTGAATCCTATTAGGAATAGGAAATACTTTGCCGCATCAATTATTTTAACAGCATAACACAATGTTGTTCGGATTTTTAAAAAATAATTTAAAAAAAAACCCTCCCTCACCGTTTATTTTTTTTTTTAAGAGTGCTAATCTAATAATTTTTTCTATGTGCTCTTAGCAGTCACTGAACACAATGAAAAAGAAAATGATTAACTTAGAAAATATTAAAGAGGACAGTTGTACTTTATCACTGTGTCCCACTATATTTGGCAAACATTGGACACAATAAGAAAGAATAGGATTATCTTGGAAAATATTAAAAGATATTTATAGTTTATCACTCTGCCCCACTATAGCCAATTTAGGGAACTGAACAAATTGTTAGATTATCACTCCCCCCCCCCCCGGGGGAAAAATTCTTGAAATATTGATGTGGGAATAATTATTTTAACAGCATAACACGATGCTATTTTATGACTTCAGATGCATTTATTTAAAAAAAACAATAAAATATAAACCAGTTTTTATACAATATTTACTAGGCCTATTACTAGCCAAATATAAATAGTCGCTCCCTCATCAATAAAAACAAAAGCGCAATAACGAATTGTTCTGATTTTTTTTTTAAACAAACAAAAACCGCCCTCCCTCATCGTTTTTTTTAAAGAGTGATAATCTAATAATTTTTTCAATGTGCTCTTAGCAGCCATTGAACACAATGGAAAGGAAAAGGATTAACTTAGAAAATATTAAAGAAGACAGTTGTACTTCATCACTGTGTCCCACTATAGCCAATTTGGCAACCATTGGACACAATGAAAAAGAATAGGATTTTTAAAAAAATATTAAACAAGATATTTATAGTTTATCACTGTGTCCCACTATAGTCAATTAAGGGCACATAGGAAAAATTATTAGATCACTATTTTATTTAATCAGAACAACTGCTTCTTTAATAGATGAGGGAGGGACTTTTTTATTTGGCAAGAATATTGTAAATATTGTATAAAAACAGGTTTAATTTTTTATTGTTTTTTAAAGAAAACGTATTTCCAATCACAAAATTACATTGTTTTTTATGCTGTTGAAAAAATCATGCGGCCAAGAAAAAGAAACATTTTTTAAATTTCCGCATCAATATTTCCCAATTTTGTTGACGCGGGCTGGAGTGATGATCTAATAAATTTATTTTTGTATAGGCATAATTACCGTATGATCTGTTCATTGTGCGTTCGATTTTGATAATGATAGGAATGATAAGAGCATTGTATGATCAATGTGAGCCAAAATAAATAGATGATTAACATAAAAAGTATGATGCCGTTTATTTGAACAATACTGCTATTGTGAGTCTAAAATTTGGTGGAGTAATGTAGTTTATGTGGTTATCATTGGGGAGTTATTGATCTATAGTAAATTCTATAATCTGGTTGTTATACGCATATAAACATATTTTTTACATTTTTCATTTTATTTCTTTATTCATGTTCTTTGCAATTCATGACAAAGTAAACTAAACCATACATATTCAAAAACAGAGTGACGAAAAGGACCGCCACGAAACTCTTAGGAGCTTTTAAAACGGAGACCCAGTGTTAAAATTAAAGTTTGTTTAGACATAAAGACAATGTAAACATACACCCCTCTCACCCCAATAGTCATATTTATTTGATTTACATTTATTTTGAACATTGCCATTAGGACATTGTTTAAATCCACACTAGCCTATATTTTACACTGATTGTACTGTCGGCAATACCAGAGACATTCATTCCCATTACATTATGGTCTTCCATTTCTATAGCGCATAATACAGTGCATGACAAAAGTCACATAACCACTACTAATTCCACCTTAATTCGGAGTCGCTCAGCTCAGTCTTACATGTGTAAATGTTCGTATTGACACTGTGTTTTTAGCATTGTTTTAAAGAAATAACCTATCAGACATTTACATGAACAACAAAACGAATGGAAATATATTTGTCTTAACTATTGTTTTC